GGAGCAGGTAGGAGTGATGGGAAATCTGGTTTGTGAAATGGCTACCTTTGCCAAAGGTACCTGGGTGTGATAAGCACATTCTAAGGCTAATACTAAGTGTGTCCTAAGAAGTTTATTTTGATAGGAGGTTCTCCATGTGGCATGTTAAAAAAAGTGATTCTCATAAGCCAGCAAGAGGGACTGTAACATCTAAGGAAACTGCATTACAGAGGAAGGAGTTCCAGACATCAATGCAGTCCCATTCTGCAGGCTGTTTAAGCAAAACTTTCCCTCTAGCTGACAGTGAGGTGATATTAAAAGACCAAAAACTAAAGGAGATGGACAGAGGGTATTCTCATGTGCCAGAGAGCTAGCTGCAGTGCCTATGTGTGCATTTTCACATTCCAGCAATAAAGAGGAAAAGCTCCCACATAACAGGCGATGCAGCATTACATATGCCCTAAGGTGGCAGTATACACTCGTGTAGTTAACCTGGAGTTGCAGGCCTACTGTTACTCTATACTAGCATATAACAGGCCCTCAAATCTCGTATTTGATATATAGTCACTTCCATGTAGTCTTTAAGTTCTGCTAACATTTGAGCCAAATTATCAGTGTAACACTAATAAAAAATAAAACACCATAAAAGTAAAGAGGTAAAAAGTCCTAACCCAACCCTCAAGGCTAATGGCACGTTCATAAATTGTGGATTTTGAGCAACACCCAACCACTCTTTCACGTCTATGTGAATCCAGAGACTGAAGTCCACACGTTCAGCCCATTCCAAAGGCAAGGGTGAAAGAGAGATCTATCAGGAGAAAGTAAAGTAAAGTACAAAGTGGAGTGCCAAGGTTGTATGCTGGAAACAGTACAGTGAATATCCCCAATTAGGGGAATCCATGATTACTTTTTTTGTAAGTCTACAAATCCTGGCAGTCAGAATGTACTTCTTATTAACCACCCAAATCCTTTTGAAATTCATAGGTTTTGTTTAGAATAAAAAAACAACTGCTGCTCTTGAAAGGCAGATTTATTTATTTTTTTGTGCATGGTATGAAAAAGTACTCCCTTTTGCTTGCTTTAAGCTTGCTGCTGCCTCCTTTCAGTGTTACTCATAGGTCAAGTGTTGGGAGAAATTGCTTATCAGTTCCCTTTCACCTTTGCTACGCTTTTCTGGATTTTATAGACCTCTGCAGGGATCCTCTGTCATAGTTCTTTTCATAGGTTTACCTATGTCTATTCCATCTCTGCTTTTCTAGACTGAGTACCAAGTTTGAATCCTCTTAAAAAGGCTTCATTTTTAGTGCGTGAGATTCAGCTTTTTCTGAAAAATAAGCCTTATTTCACTGTTTTGCAAAGTCAATATCTGAAAAACTTACTTAACAGGAATAGTAATTTCTAAAAATAGAAGCTATGATGTTACTTTGCAAACCACAAAATATATTTGAATACACATTTTAAAAAATCTGAAACAATCCAATATTCATTTTATAAGAATGAATTATCCTAGCTTACACTTTGTTTTTATGATGACAGTTGATATTTTAAATAAGGAGCATCACTGTCCTGGGACATGCAAAAAGAATGCCACAAGCTGGAGAAATGGGTCAACAGGAGTGTCACGAAGGTCAGCAAAGGCAAAAGCAAAGTTCTGCTGCTGCAATGGGATAACCCCATGCCACAGGACAGGCTGCACTCCAGCTGGACAGCAGCTCTACAGAAAATGACCCCGGGTCCCTGTGGACAAAAAGTTGAATATGAGTCAGCAGTGTGCCCTTGCAGCCACAGAGGCAATGGCCTCCTGGGCTATACGGGTAAGAGTGCAGCCAGCAGATTGAGAAAGGTGATCCTTCTCTGTTCAGCACTTGGGAGATATCTGAAGACATGTACCCAGTTTTGGGCTCTTCAGTACAAGAAAGATATTGATGTGCTGGAGCAAGTCCAGGAAAACAAAGATGGGTAGGAGCTGACAACCATGATGTGCAAAAAGGGGTTAAGAAAGATGAGCTTACTCAGGATTCAGAAGAGAAAGCTAACAGGAGATCTTATTGCTGTCTTTAACTACCTGAACAGAAGGGCATAAAGAAGACAAAGCCGTACTCTTCCGAGAGATTGACAGTGACAGGACAAGAGGCAACAGACACAAGGTGCAACATGGAAAATTCGCATTGGATATAATAATAAATTGGATGTAATAAAGTGTTTTCACTATAAGGGTCATAGGAGATATTCAAAACTTGACAAGACATAGAATGGAACAACCTGAACTAGCTGGACATTCTTTTGCTAAGAGGTTAGCTGAGAGGCCTGAAAATTACCTTCCAACTGAAGTATTTTATGAGTCTATGACAATTCAAAACATAGAGAATCCTTCTTCAAAGAAAAAAAGACAGGAACATAGATGAAATCAGCAATTACAAGGTGGACCACACGATGAGCAAGGTCTCCTCAAATGAGTCTGCCTTGCACAACATCAATAGTCCTGAACAAAAAGGCCCCGAGCAACTTTCTTGAATGTCAAAGCTGGCTTTGAGCAGAGGCACATGACCAATGGGGAGTTTCCCAGAGCTAAATTAATTTACAACATTTTCTCCATTTTTATACTGTGATATTCAGATGCCTTCAATGAAAGTAGTACTGGCACCTCTTTGCAAAGCAAAAGCAGTTTGAAATCCTTTTACCCACAGAAAGAGACCTTTCTAACAAAACCTGTGCTACAACTTTTCAGAGTATGTAAAAGCCTGCAAGAATAAGATGAAATAACAGAATACCACCCACCTGAGGTAGCTTCTTGTGAACACAGTTTACTCCACTAACCATAATCATGTTGGGCATCAATGGTCTTGGATAGTGTAAAACAAAGTCTAGCTTCAAGAGCCAAATGGAAGCCTGGCGTAAGATATCCAGCACAGTCACATCCCGCTGAAGGAACTCAGAAGCCAGTTTTGCGTATGGTTGAAAGACAAAATCACAGAGAAAATAATTTGGGATGTCAAAGATTAGATTCTTCACCCGCTGGAGAAAGTTCATGTGGTCCGTGTGCTCTGTGAACATCCTGGGGACATATGAAGGGGGATTGGGACACTGAGTGGCTTCAAATTCTAAACCACATGGTATTTGCTGCAAAAAAACCACGGAAGGGACTGAAAGATGCTCTGCCAGGATCTGCCCACATGGCAGAATTGGATCTGTAAAGACAGCATCAAACTTACTCTCCTCAAGATATCTGACAAGCTCTTTGTTGTACAGTAAGTGTGTACAGGTAGACAGGAACATGGCAGAAGTATTTTTCACTCCTTCATACATTTTAAGAAATCTTTCCAGAAAAGATCCTTCTTCAAATACCTCCTGGCTAGTTCTCCAAAAAGTGCGATCCAGCTCTTCCTGTGTGAATGGGACGGGGTACATTTTCATAATAAAATTATTTGTTGGCTTTATATGCCAATTGATTTCAGGTGCAACGACGACTATTTCATGTCCCTTCTGCCTGAGACTGTCCAACACTTCCCGCATGCTGAGCCAATGACTCCCATCCACCGGTACCACCAGCAGCTTCCCACCACCAGCAGAACTGACCACAGACAGGAGCAGAACCAGCGTCGCCATGACATGCAGATGAGCGCTATGCACCGGGGCCATTTCTGCAGAAATCTGGTGAGTGCTGCCCAGAAAGAAAACCACTGGCAGCACTGAAGCAGTAGCACCAGCTCTGTGCTTTTAAGCAATCTGTGCTACAACATAACTTTTGATCCTTGGAGGTATTTGCTGTGTGGTAGATGTATAATCACTAATTTGATAAAAGGCAGGATAGCAAGCACTAGTGTTCAGCAATGTACATGGGTGGTTGGTAAATGTGGTGGATGTACCAGATAAGCCCCATCTGTTTTTACAAGAAAAGCTTTGGCAGCTCTACTGCCTTTGAGCAGGATCTGCCAAGCCACCATAGCCCCTTCAGGGTCACTAGGATTGATTTTGTTCTCAGATCTCACATCGACATCACCAAGGTGGAATCTTCTGAGGCCTGCCTGTGAACAGAGATGGTGCTTCTTAGCCTGAGAAT